GGGGTCGGGCAGACCGTTAGCATCTGTATCTATGACAATCTGCGGCAACAATAAAAAAGGAAGCACTGAAGGGAAAGAAACACGCAGTGAAAACCACGGGGAAAGCGACGAGTGCAGAGAAGAAAAACCGGCAGCAGAACGAATTGGGATCGGCTTGGGCTTTTCACCCCTTCCCGCGACTGGGGGCTCGGCTCAGCTTAAAACAATACGTTTGACAAAAGTGGAGTCAACTGCAACGGCTGCAGCCTGCACGTTGCACAATGACAGTGGGCTTGCTGGGCTGCCACCGCATAATATGTGTAAAGCCAAAAGGATTTGTTATTCGAAACCGAGCGAAAAGATAAATAAAGAAAAGAAGATTCCTTGCCACCCCACTCTCCGCAAGCAACAACCACCCACCACCCACCGAGCACCGCCCATCCGCCCATTTGTGGGTGGTTTCGGTGGACAGACAAAGGCTCCAAGGTTCCTGCTGTAACAAAAACCAAGAAAAAATACCAGAAAATTTTTAATAAGTGCCACAATGCAGCAGCAGAAATAAAACCGAGATGGTGGAAACAGCGTGAAGACACGGACACAGATACAGATGGAGACACGGATACAGATACAGATACAGATACAGATACAGATACAGGCACAGTGGGCAATGGAGGGAGCAATAATGAATGCCCGGACACACACACACACACACAGTGGCGCAGGGAAGCAGGGAAGCACATGTGTGTGTGCCGCCATTAGAAGTCAGCCAGGGGCCAAATTCCAAATACCAAACACCAAACACCGAAATCCAGACAGCCACGTTGATGGGATGTCAACCAAAACGTTTGAGCGACATGGCCAAGCGAGAACAAATAAAAATTGTTGCATTCCCACTCTCGTTCCGGCCGTTTTGGCTGCAGTGTGGCGGGTCGTGCACGCGAGTAATCACTGTGGCTCGGTGCCGCCTCATGTGTCCCCTCATTTGGGTAAGTGTACTTGGGAGTACGAATATCAATGGGCACGATCGAATCATTTGATTCCACTCCTGAACTGAGCTGCAGTTCTGTAAGTGGAGAAGCGAGACTGCTGAAGTTCTTCCTGCTGACGCTTCACTGTAGCTCGCGATCTGCGATCTGGGCGCAGGCACGTAGTCACTGTGCGGCTTTATTTCCACTGCAGCGTTTGGCACTCGAATGAGGACATAAAACATATTTAGGCGCGCCGAACGCCGAAGCAAAAAGGATAAAAAGTGGCAGGACTTGTGCTCATCCGCCCCCTGCAAACTGCAGTGTAACCTGCAAAAAAAAAAACAAGAAATAGGAGCAGAAAAAATAGAAAGGAAAAGAAAAGTGCACAAAAGCCGACAGCAAATGCAAATAACAATAAAAAGAAAATAGTGGACCAAGGAAAATGGCATTTCAGGCAAGCGGCGGCGGCCAACGGAATTGCAAAATGCAAACAAATAGTCCACAATTTTAATAACTCACATTTTGCGCCAGCGTTTGGCGGTATATTCGGAATTAAAAGGGAAGTCCAGCGCGAGGGGCGGGTTATCCTGCAGGGGGGCACTGGGGTAACTGGGGTAACTGGGGTAACTGCTGGTAACTGCTGGTAACCGGGGATTGTTCGCACCCCCAGTCGGTCGTTTGGTCGACTGGGCGGTTGGTCAATTGCTGCCATTGTTGGCGCTGCGGTTCGGTAACTTGTTGGCCGATTTTCACTCTTCACTCCCCTTTTGCAGCCCCAAAAATGTCGCCACAATGCGATCGAGTCGGTTATGATGCGGATGACAGCAATGGTGGCGACGATGGCGATGGCGATGATGAGGCATAAGTGCTGTCCACAGGCCGCAGACGGATTTAATGATTCAGCCAACTCGAGCTGAAAAAGCAAGCGAGCAGTTCGCAGGCGACTTTATTATTCATGTCCTCTTTACAGCCCATAAATTGTGGCAGCCTCTTTGGCGGGCACAAAGGTACTGCAACCAATGAACAATTAATTGTTGCAATGCCAAATGTGCGGCAGCCATATTTAATCTTAAATGAAAAAGCCGCGCACGCGGAGGAATATTTCGGGACAATAAAACCGATTCCTACGAGCAGTTCGCTGCAAACTTGTAATTAGTAGGTACACATAAATTCTCCTATTTTAATTAACTTTATAAGCAATGAGTGGCTGTAAAACAAGCGACTGCGTTGATTCTTCTGGGTCATGTATCCCGTTCTCGAGGCCCTTCGAACTATTGCAATCCGAGTTTGATGGAATGCGCGACAAGTGTGAATAATGAGTGGTATTTGCCGCGCGCTTCGCCCACGCCTCTTGTGCGTCCAGGTCCTTCATTATTTATGTGAATAATTAAGGGTGTATTTTTTCTTTTAATTAATATCACCTGAAATTATTCCGATTCGGGTGCAGTGCGCGTGATTAATGCAAGAAGGACGCGCTCAGGACAGCGCCACATCGCCACATCGCCACACCGCCACTGGCGCACATATGTTAACCGTTTGTTTGCAGAGAGATTTACCAATTTTTCACTCTGTTTGTTTGTTAATTTTGTAAAATTATACAATTTAATTGCACACACGAGCCGCAAACAGGAGCACTGGCCATTTGGGCCAAAAGCTTACCTTCTGCGGTTTTTCACGTGGCGCCGAGTGAGTTGCATGTGCAACAATATGCGCATTAATTGTGCGACTCTAATGATGCGCGGTCTCCTCTCGTTTTATATTTAATTAATGCGCAATTTTCACTTTTAGTCCAGTTGGCATCTTCCGACCAGCGAACCGGATGTGCCACTCCCCCAGTGCCGCCGCCCACTTCCGCTTGTTGCTGTGCGAGTTGATGAGTGACGCTCATCAATTTAGGCAGCTAGCCAGCTAAATTAGTGGTTTCAATTACAATTGATCCGCCCCTAGGATTTTCAATATCGAGTCTGAATGTACATCGAATCACTATTATCGAATGCTTAAAGTTCGAAGTTCATCGAAGTTAAAGCTCTTCGGCTTTCCAAGTCGCACAATTTGTTGTCCAAATGCAATTATCTGCGATGCGAGCCGCTGAAAACAGCAACAAGCGCTGATCCGCCCCCTGAACTTCCGCCCCTGAACCTGCGACCCCTGAACTTCCGCCCCCATCGAACACTCGCCGCGCGGCTGTCAGCGGCGACCTCAAAACTCATCCTCACCCGGCCAATAATTTAAGTGTTTTTCGGCTGGGGGCCCGCCGTGCGGTCCAGAGGCCAACATCAATTTAAAATCATTTAATAAATTCGCACTAAATTTCAATTCCGCTTTCATTAAATGCCACATAAATTATACGCACTGCGATGGCTGCGGGGTGGGGTGGGGTGGGGTTGTGTGGGGATGTCCCCGTGTCCCACTGAAGGGGTGGAGGGGGTGGGTGGTGGTTGGTGGAGTTGTCAGCTGGGGCCGCCAAATCGCGTGTTACCATATTTCGCATTCGTTTCAAGCGCCGCGCGCCATTCGCACATAAAATGCTTTTAATTTTTCGTTACATTTGTCCCAGCTTGTTATTGTAGTTGTTGTCGCTGTTATTGTTGCCCCCCCCCCGGAATTTCATCCCCCTTTGACGCCTTTCGCCCACTTGGCCACATTTTCAATTCGACCTCAATAAAATTTACGCCCAAAGGCGGCAGACGAACGGCCGCGCGAGGGGCGGGGTGGGGAGTGGGGAGTGGCAGAGGTCACGGGCGAAGACAGCTGACATCGAAGGGGGCGGGGCCCCCCATTCAGCGAATACTCTGCCGGCTTATAGGGCCACTTTTCACACGGCTCAAATAAATGACGCATATTTAATTACTCGGCGACCTTTCAGTAACTCTTTCGCTTAAATTACTTAGCAACATCAAGCTGAAATCGTAAGCCTAATCACTCACAGCTAATCACCCGCTAAACAGACGTCTGTTGGATGTGCTAGGCGTCGAAAGGGTGTTCCCTATTCGTTGTTGGCCGCTGTTGTTGTGCTCGTGAGTTGCCCCAAAGCCCAAAAAGTGTTCATTTCCTTTCTGGCGTGTTATCATCGCCACTTCCGGCGGCGCGGCGGGGAGCAGCAGCGCGACAAGGACGGCAAGGACGGCAAGGACGACAAGGACGACAAGGACGAGGACTTGGACGGCGGTCGACATTGAATATCGGCAGTTAACATACAGCATGTATGAGCATATGTAGGTATGTACAAGAAGCCGCCGCCAATTGAAAACGTGGCTTTAATGTGGACCTTTGATGGGCCCACTTGCCAGTTGACACGCCGCCCCTTTCCCGACGACCTTGGGCGTGGCGCGGCAGTTAAGTAAAATAGAAAACAGAATAAAAGTTTTCCCTCTGTTCCAGACGAATGCAAACACAATTTGAATGCTGCCGCTGCCAGCAAATCGAGCGGAAAACATCCATCGCCAAACGCCGCTTTTCCGAAGCGGGAAAAGTGCACAGAACTTTTCACTTAATCGCTTTTCGTTGCGTTTGAGGGAAAACAAACAGAGCTAATTTGACTTTATCTCCTTGGCGTCAAGTTTCGTTTTCGCTTTAGTTTTCGTTTTCGTTTTCTTTTTCCACAGTCCCATATTTTATTTGCCTGCGCCAATTTTCCCCATGAACTTTAACTAGTTTTCCAGGCCAATCCAACAGATTTCTAGGGATTCTAAATGCAAAAGTTTTTGCAATGAATAATATTGTAATCTCAGGCGAAAGTAGCATCATTTACTCAAGGTTTATATTTTATTAGCATTTTACGACAGAGAGCGGATCAATTTAATGCGTTCCATGATGGTTTAAATTAATATTTTATTTAATAATATAGTAAACAACAATTGATAGTACTCTTCGAATATTACGTTCAGCTTGGTAAATGAATAAATGTTTAGTAATGTTCGTATTAAAAGTGCTATTAAGTACTATAATATTTTGTACTGAATATTGTTTGAATATTTTATGTATGCAGGATTATAGCACACTTTCCTTATAATACGTTGTTACCAAATTGCTTTGGAAATATTTAAAAATATCTTACAAGCTGCTGAGGAATACGTTGCCGTAAAAGTACAACAGCTCCACCAGGAAAACAGCAGCGGCCACGGCGATGGATGCTCCACAGACCCGCCAGACAAACTCCAAGTCCCCGATACTCAGGGGCCTAAGGATCTCCAGTTGGCTGTAGTCCTTGATGCTCATCCTGCCGGCCTGGACCATGTCGTAGAAGCTCTTTCGAATCCAGTGCCGCATCAGACCTGCTTGATGGATACTGAAGGTGAAGTCCTTCAAGGACTCCCAGTATATCGAGTCGGGGGCCAGGACAGCGCTGGTGGGCATGAAGTCACAGAAGCAGAGATCCGAGGCCCAGCGGAAAACCGGCTTGGCAAAGTGCCGTTGCTGGGTTTTTATCACCAGCCACTTTATGTAGGGCATGGTGTAGGCCCACGTCGTGTTGAAGTGGTTGCGCAGGTCGAAGAGCTCGTCGGGATCGTCAATCAGGTGAAATATGCCGGCATACCGCGCCCGCAGAGCCGCATCCATGTCGTAGAACTCGTGCCGTATTCCCATGATCTTCCGGTCGCCGCGCAGCAGATCCTCGAAGCTGGCGATCCTGTCTGGATAGGGCGGGGAGATCAGCAGCGCTAGGAGTTGGGCGCTGCAGGTGGTCAGTAGGAGCAGGGCCAGCAGGTGGGGCAGGATTCGTGCCGGCCTTGAGTTCTTCAATCGTGTCAGGCAACGCAGATGCCTGAACAACAGCCAGGTGACGAGGATGACGGGTAGTAGGGTCATGGCCAACGCTGGACACACGATCCGGCCGAACAAGTATGGAGTTGGCAGGGGCTCCTCCACCGGCAACATGGTGCACCAGCTGGAGGCCAGTAGCGGGTAGCTGTACTGATGGATGGCCCAGAGATTCCGCTTGGTGATCAGCGTGGTGGTCAGGCCCACGTCTATGAAGCCCTTCGCGGCGTACTCCAACATGTAGGTGCTCTCCGAGGACGAACCTGCTCGCCAACTGGGACGAACTACCTCCAGACCAGCATTCACGCGACTGGCAAAGGTGGCCATGAAGTCCCACAGGTAGCCGGCCACCTGGTCATCCCCCCTGGCATCGCGATAGGAAAAGGTGTTCGGCGGCGACAGATCCGGCATCACACGCAGACGATGTCCCCGCAGATTATCCAATTTATGGGCAAACAGTTGCACGCCTTGTCCGCCGGAAACCCGCCTCCTGACCAGCTCGAAGCTGGGAAAAGCGCGGAAGGCGTAGAGCATCAGGGAGTGCTGGTAGTCTCGGAAGTACAGCTCCACTCGCAGCATGCTCCGCTGCAGGCAAACTGAGAGATACCTACTGGCCAGTGCTGCCTGATCAGCACCAGCCACTTCGATGAGCACTCGGGCCAGCGTCCGCAGGTGGCTCAGGCTGTGGGCCAACTCTTCCAGCTGAAGTACTGCACTGGAGTCCATCGGCAGGCAGGCCAGCACCAGGAGCTGCCCATTAAGCTGATCGTGGAGATCCGGGTGCGAGTGCCACACGATCTGCGGATGGGCAGACAGGTTGCGCGGCCACAGGACCTCCCAGCTGCAGTCGAGTCCTGCGGGATTGTAGTACACCAGTGTGCGCTCTTCCCTCAGCAGCAGATGAACCACCAGGCCGTAGAGCTCCAGCAGCTCGGCGGGAGGACCAGTGCTCGGCTTCCAGCTGGCCAACATGTCGCCGGCATTGCAGGAACCGACTGACCGGCTCTGGAAATTTTGTCTGGAGAGTGCTCTGCTCCTCGCGGTGCACACCACTACCACTCCTTATCGAGGCCATCTGGTGTAATTGAGCTGGGACAAGTGCATCGGTCGCAACTCCCAGGTATTTGCCTTGGAGCCTTGAAGTTGGAGCTGCATATTCCGAGGAATGGAGTGCGTCCTGGGGCTTCCGTCTGGAATCTAGAACTCCATCTCCTGGTATTATAATGTGTTACGTTTAAAACGTGATTGCTGTGTGTTCCTTTGGGTCATTGGGACTGGGAGACTATAGTATACACCAGAGAACTACAAGAGTGGCATTTTTGCCACCCGACTCACACTCAAAAAATTTGAGTGTCGAGTGCCACTCACCACCGGGCTTCGCGGGTACCTACAAACACCCAGTCAAAATCTTAGGGTGTTTGCAAGCGCCCGGGTGTGTGCGCACCCAAGTCAATACGACACTCTTCGTCGCGGGTGAAGATCACACTCGCCACTCATAACGGGACAAAAAGAAGGCGAACAGTCAGAAGAATGCAAGTGCGCAAAAAGGGTTAAGTGGCAAAGACACTCATTTATGGCCCGAGTGCTTCGTGCCGCGGATTTATGACCTGGGTGTCTCGTAGACACTCGAGTGTCTCGGGTGTTAATTGGGTGGTAATTGATCTTTGTTTTTTACTTGTGCACTTGCTAGCGTGTTGGGATTAATTCCGATTTTGAAGCCAACGAAAAAGGTCGCAATTATGGCAGGAACGGCAGATTTTGTAAAAAATAAAATTTTAAAACTAAAAAAAATTTTGTTAAATCCTAAAAACTTGTGAAAAATTAAGTCCTTTTGTAATGCGTCTTAAAATATTTAATATATACTTTTTAAGCCCAGTTTGTTATTATTGCTTATAATAATACATTAAAAACGTAATAAATTAAAAAATGACCTCTTAAACCTCAAATATTCCTTGTGCCCGAAAAGCAAAAACATGTGCCCGATCTTTTTCTTGGGTATTCCCATTCACCCATTCCCATTTTATGAATACAGGAAATGACCTACGGCCGATCGTTGCTGTGTGTCGGCTGACCCGAAACGCTAGTAACAAAAAGTAGTTAGTAAAAAAGTTAGTAACGAAAAGTAACAAAAAACAACCGAGTGGCAAAGGACTTGGGTGTTTGGTATTGCCGCAGATAGAGTGTCAAGAAACACCCGGGTGCTGAGACACCCAGTGTTTAGTGGGTACTTAGAGTGCCGGTGGCTTGCTGCAGTTCTCTGGTATACACTTCTGAACTATATAAACTATATATATAACTAATATATATAATAATATATATATAATAACAACAATATATATATATCGCCACAATCAGCCATCGAACTGCTTTATAGGAAAGCTGGCTCTGAAACGGAAAAGTCCGGCAACAAGAAGGAATCAGCGCATTTTGCAGCAGTTGTTTCGCTACTTCTGCCGAAGTGGACCACTCACCTGTGCCACCTTTGGGCAGCCCCCCTCTGGGCGAAACCCCCTGGAAAGGCCGCCAAAAATGGCGAGTATGCGACGAGCGCCCACGCAACTATTTGCCGGCGAAATGTTTTGCGCATTTCGCCGCCGCGTTTTTCAAATACACTTGCGACATTTGACAGCTCCAACTGTCAGTGCAATGTGTCGCTGTGTGTGTGGGTGTGTGTGTGTGTGTGTGTGTGTGGCTGCGGCTGTATCTGTGCGCGTATCTGTATCCGTGCGCTGCATGTTGATTTTGCCGAGTTGTTTTGTGGGGGACGCCCCCTTCAGCGTTAACCCTTCAGCTGCCATTGGCATTCATTCACGTGGCAGCGCCATCGTCATCTCGACCCTGACGCTGGCTGCAGTTGTAAATAAATTTGCATTTTTGTCAATTTTGATGGCGACCACATGCACACACGCACACACGCACACAGGGGGTGTTGGGGTGTTGGGGCTGCACCAACACACACACAGCCGCGCATGAATGCCTGCAAAGTATGCAAAGTTTATTCATGAACGAGTGTTTTGCGGCCACATCAACTGGCCAGGGCTGCAAAGCCTCCTTTAAATGATCGGCGAGTGTCCTTTCGAATGCCTTGCAACAAGCTGGGACTTGGGTTTAATATCGTTTTCCCTAAAACCATCCGAATTCATGTTCAAACCATACATTTGCCAGCCATGCTATCTGATTTCATCACACATTTGGCTTCATTTAGATCGAAGTTAATTGTTGGAAGGTATTTATGGCTCCATTGACCGAGCGACAGTTCCTGGAAATATTTAAACATGCTTTGATTGCCGAGGTTTTTGACTACCAAACCCGACATTTTAATATCTTCCTTTGTTCCCATGAACACTGTCGTTTAACCACGTTTTTGAAATGATTCATAGAAGGATTACCCTGTACTTTAATGGTATTACCTGTCCAGCCCCGCCTTGCCCATTTTGCCCGTCTGCCCGATACAACCATGTTGGTACCCAAACTACGCGGCTCTCCGGCCAGATGCAGCTGGGCTGGGAATGGACATGTTCATGGAAGTGGGCGGCATACTCCTCGCATTAGGACCTTGATCGTCAGGGGATTGGGGGATTGGGGGATCGGGGGATCGGGGGATCGGGGGGTGGGAAAAATTTGTTGTTCAAATGGTCACAAAGTTGCTGACTGCGTTTTTGGTCATCACTTTGTCGTCATTCTTGTGGTGCCCCCGACATTGTTGTTGTCGCTTCCATTGTTGTTGTTATTCTCGTTAATATTGCTATTGTTGCTGTTGCTGTTGCTGTTGTTGTTGCTGTTGTCGGCAGGCTAAACACTATTATCGCTGCTTTGCCTCTGCGAATGCTGGTCTGAGTGAGTGAAGGTGTTTGTTGGTGTTACCAAAAATTAATTTGCATAATGGACAGATACACACACACCCACACAACATTAGCGCATCCTTGAGGGCGGTGGGCGTAGGTGTGTGTGTGGGGGGCGTGGCAGGAGCAGCATCAACATTGCTGGCATATTTCCACGTCGAGGACAAAGAAGAAAGCAAATTCGTTAAATCTGAAATAAAATCAAAAAACAATGCGACCCACACACACGCATATTTGCGGACATGTCCTTTTGACGCCATTTATTAACTGCGAGTGCCGAACAATGTTTGCATTTTGCATTTTTGATTGCTCCTGTCCAGCTGCTCACCACACCCCCTCCACACCGCCGATCGACCACACCCCCTGCTCGTCCTGCAAATCGCACACAGCAGCGAAATTAATGAAAAATGCCCTCGTATTTGTTTAATTCGTGATAAATTATTTAATGCTCCTGATAGGATTACCATATGGGCGTTTGGCGTTTTTCTTCTGTTTAAGTTTATTATTGATTCGCTGTCGAATCATTGAAAAATGCGTAACGCTATTAATTTAATTAAATGCATGTTATTATTGGGGCTTGCTAAATCAATTTATTTTAATTTTATCTGTTACGGCTTTTGCGCAAACAAACGAATGCAATAAAGCGTTATCACGGCCAATAAAAGTCTTAGATATAATAGCTCGAGCGAAACTAGATTGCAGTCAGATTTAACACAAGAAACAGGATTAAAGTTAATTAGTTAAATGAACTCAATTTTTATTTATGATAAATACGAGCCCCAGCTGAACTGAGACCAATTTGAATTTCAAAATATTACCATATTTTGAAACGATCCATTTGTGTCTCTTCACTTATAGCATTTTCTTCTAATTACATCGATTTCATATCTAAAAATTGGGCTTTCAAAATGAATACGATCGAAACTAATTTGTCCATCAAAACTATACAATAAACTGCAATAATTAATTGAGATCAAAGATTCTTAGTTTAATATTCCAAGAATTGCTTTGCTTTATTCCGTATAATATCAAGAGTCTGTCTTAATAGAGATCACAGATTTTAAACAGCATAAATATATAGTATATTGACTTGCTTCGAATCGGGAATTGTGGGTTAACTATTTTAAGTTTCCAGCTTCCAGTTGGTGCCATGTGCACCGCATCCTGAATCCTTCCTTGGGCCATGGTCGTGGCCTCGACTGGCGGAAGTCCTTAGAATCTATGTTGCAGCTACTTAAACTTAGTTGGCCAACAGTTTGCAGTGCTTTTCTTTCCCGCTTCCTTTGGACGCGGCCAGAAAGTTTGCGCAGAATGGCGGAATGCAATGACAATGTGATGAGAGCCGGAGAGGAAAATCGCGGAAAATGAAGGGGCTGGACTGAAAAGTGCCACATAAGCATAACAATAAAATCCAATAGAAGTGGCTAGAACGACGATAATGCGACGGGGCTGGCCGAAAAAGGGCGAAAAATCCGTTCAGGCCGCCGAAGACGGAAGACGAAAGCGGAAACGGAAACGGAAACGATTTTCGCTTTAAAAAGGAATGTAAGGAAAATCTGGACTCGGAGTTTTGGGATTACTCAGCAAATGTTCGGAATGTCGCACTTTTAATCACAGACAGCTACAAATTGTTGTAGCTTTCGTTGGGTTATGTCTCGGTTGCGTTGTTAAATGCCATGTTAATTCCCTCGTAATACGCGTGTTCATTATGTTAAACACTTAACATGCGTGGGTGTGTGTGGGTGTGCGTTGCTGTGTGTGTTGTGAGTGTCAGGGTGTGTGAGAGCGGCGAGAGGAGCGGGGCCCTCTGCTGCATGTGTGTGTTTGCATTTTGGTTGTTATACAAGAGAGTTGTTGTCAGCCTCGTCATCGCAGCTCGCTCGCCCCCTGAACAATAAATGAAAGTGTAACACACTAATTAGTCCTGTATGCGATTCATAATGATAACAGTAATTAACATGTGTGCCTGTGTGTGTGCGCACTATGAGGACTCGGCAACAACAGCACACACATCCCCACGTCCTTTCATCAAAGCGCCCGCCTCGGATGAACTTTGACTCGCTTGCGGCGCTGCTCTTTTCCGCGTTTATGCGGTGGCCCAGTTCACGAACTCGCGCTCGCGCTCACGAA